TATACATGGTTTGGAGCACAAACAATAAATAGAACAAAGCAACGCATATACATTAAAACTATGACATCATCGATATAATGGGAGGACCCATTTAAAAAAGGCACCCACCTTAAACATTTTTTTTTTTTTTCCAGACTGAAATAATGAAACCATTTTAAACATTGATGGGCTTTTCACATAACACTGTGGAAAATACTTCTCTCTGTAATGGCATATTTCTACCTTTTTACACTCAAACAAAACATGATACTCGTCTCCAACACAGTTATTCTGAATGGAGATGTTCCATAATATTTGTGTCACTGAGTCTTCCCCGGCTTTCTGAGCCCTTTAACCCATTTAAACAGGTTTGTTTCTGAACGTTTTGCTGATTTTGGGGGGGGGATGTGTCTGCCCACAGGACCTGATTTCGGGGATGGGCACATGGGTGGACTGAGTGGGACCCCCAGGAGTTTGGACTTCAGGATGCACTCTGTAAAAAAATTCTACTGTTTTCGATTCAACGTGACAAGATGTGAATAAATCTTTATTTTATCCTAATGTGTCCAAATTATTCTGAACATTTCCAGCCATGAAAGTGTTTTGATGTAACTGCATGGAAATATACAATGGAGGAAATAAGTATTTGACCCCTTGCTGATTTTGCAGGTTTGCCCACTTACAAAGAATGCAACGATCTATAACTTTAATCATACAGTCAGGGCCAGAAATATTTGGACAGCAACACAGTTATCCTCCTTTTCCACCCTATACCCCACCACAATGGATTTGAAATGAAACAAACAAACTGTGCATTAACTGTAGACTCTCAGCATTAATGTGAAGGTGTTAGCATCCAAATCGCATTAACAGGATTGAAATAGCAACAGTTTTTGTATGTGTTGCCCACTTTTCAAGGGATCAAAAGTAATTGGACAATGGGCAATAAGGGCTGCAATTAACTCAGAAGGTGTCTCCCTCGTTAACCTGTAATCAATTAAGTAGTTAAAAGGTCTGGGGTTGATTCCAGGTGTGTGGTTTTGCATTTTGGAAGCTTGCTGTGACCAGACAACATGCGGTCAAAGGAGCTCTCTATTGAGGTGAAGCGGAACATCCTGAGGCTGAAAAAAAAGAAAAAATCCATCAGAGAGATAGCAGACATGCTTGGAGTACCAAAATCAACAGTCTGGTACATTCTGAGAAAAAAGAAATTCACTGGTGAGCTTGGGAATTAAAAAAGGCCTGGGCGTCCATGGAAGACAACGGTGGTGGATGATCGCCGCATACTTTCTTTGGTGAAGAAGAACCCGTTCACAACATCTACTGAAGTCCAGAACACTCTCAGGGAAGTAGGTGTATCTGTCTCCAAGTCAACAGTAAAGAGAGGACTCCATGAAAGTAAATACAAAGGGTTCATGTCCAGATGCAAACCATTAATCGAATCTAAAAATAGACAGGTCAGAGTTGAATTTGCCAAGAAACACCTCAAAAAGCCAGCCCAGTTCTGGAAAAGCATTCTATGGACAGATGAGACCAAAATCAACCTGTACCAGAGTGATGGGAAGAAAAAAGTTTGGAGAAGAAAGGGAACGGCACATGATCCAAGGAACACCACATCCTCTGTAAAACATGGTGGAGGCAGTGTAATGGCATGGGCATGCATGGCTTTCAATGGCACTGGGTCACTTGTGTTTATTAATTACATAACAGCAGACAAGAGTAGCCGGATGAATTCTGAAGTGTGCCGGGATATCCTTTCAGCCCAGATTCAGCCAAATGCTGCAAAGTTTAATGGACGGCGCTTCACAGTACAGATGGACAATGACCCCAAGCATACAGCGAAAGCTACCCAGGAGTTCATGAAGGCAAAAAAGTGGAATATTTTGCAATGGCCAAGTCAATCACCAGATCTTAACCCACTTGAGCATGCATTTCACTTGCTCAAGACCAGACTTCAGACAGAAAGACCCACAAACAAGCAAGAACTGAAAGCTGCGGCTGTAAAGGCCTGGCAAAGCATTAAGAAGGAGGAAACCCAGCGTTTGGTGATGTCCATGCAGTCCAGACTTCAGGCAGTGATTGCCTCCAAAAGATTTGCCACAAAATATTGAAAAAAAACTTTTTTGTTTGGGTTATGCTTATTTGTCCAATTACTTTTGAGCTCCTAAAATGTGGATTGCTTGTAAAGAAATATGTACAATTCCTACATTTTCTATCAGATATTTTTGTTCAACCCTTTAAATTAAACGTTACAACCTGCACTTGAATTCTGTTGTAGAGGTTTCATTTCAAATCCAGTGTGGTGGCATGTAGAGCCCAACTCGTGAAAAATGTGTTACTGTCCAAATATTTCTGGCCCTGACTGTATGTACATTCTACCAGTGAAAGACAGAATCCCAAAGAAAATTCCAGAAAATCACATCATATGAATTTATAAAAATTGACAACCATCTGATGAGGAAAAATAAGCATTCTTTGTAAGTGGGCAAACCTGCAAAATCAGCAAGGGGTCAAATACTTATTTCCCCCACTGTACATACATATATTAATTGAATGTTTATTTGTTTTAATCTTGTTTCTGGTGAAACTTATAATGCTTCCTTTTTAGTTAAAACTCAGTCTTTAACCATGCAAATGCTGTGATATTGTGTGAGGTGCTGCTGTGCAGCGGGTTGTGATGTAAGAGCTGAAATAAAGAGCTGTTTTTTCTCTCTCTGAGGGGAGCGCAGACCCGCAGAGCGCATCATGCGCAGTTTATCAGGCTGCCTGCGAAATTTGCGTGGATAATGTCTTTCATTTCTAACATCGGAGGGGGAGGGGACTGACAGAGGAGAGGAGAAGGGATTTAACATAGCAGGAGGCATAAAGCGAGATAGTGTACAACTCAAAGATGGATAAAAACGAGTAAGTACATGATTTTAACGGCGCGGGGGGGGGGGGGGGGGCGCAGGTCCGGGGCTCCGGGGGCGGTTTGGCGTGCAGAAAAATGAGGAAAATGATGTTTTCACATCGATTCTGAGAATGCATTTGCAGACGGCGGCCGGGGGCTTCATGGAGGACGCGCGTGAGAGTCCCGGTCCGGGTTCAGATTCAAACCAGGTCCAGAAAACACGACCAACGCGTCGACAGGAGCTCTGCGGAGGGGGGGGGTCGGGGTGGGGGGGGGGGGGGGGGGGTCTATCGGGGGGGGATCACTGGTCTCCGTACGGATCTTTTCCGCGCACGAAGCCTCAACAAACGCGTCGCGTGCAACTTAAAAAGCCCAATTCGGTTCAATAGAGCCGATAAGGTCGATGCATAAAGCCGGATCCGGTCCCGGTTCTCGTCCCGGTCCCGGTTCCGGTTCGGCTGCAGCGGCTCTCCAGCTTGACATGCAGTTTCTGGCGTAAAAACTTGCGCATTTTCCTATTTTTGCGCGACGTTTTGGGGGGTGGGGGGGCTGACGGTGCACGGCGCGTGCCGGAGGGGACCTGGATCCCGGACCTGGATCTGGATCTGGATCCGGATCCGGATCCGGTCCTACTTCTAGTCAGAGTTCTGGCCCCCGCAGCTTAACGTCAGCCGCGTGCACGCAGGCAGAACCGGAAGTCCAGTTCTGTGGTCACCACAAAGTAAGAGGCTGAGCTGGGCCTGTGGTCCAGACTGGGGAAGGGGGGGGGGATAAACCTCTATTGACTGTGGATTATGTTTGAGAACTCAAATATTTTGAATCATTCTGAATCAGATAAAAAGAAAATTAAATACAAATAATCTAAAACCAGGACCGTTCATTTCAAAACTTTCTATAGATCAGATAAATCAACATTGACCAGTTTATTTGTCCAAATGATGCTTCTATTTCTGAGTTTATTCAAATTAAGTTTCCTTTTATAATATATATATTTCCCTGAAAAAATATATTAAAAAAGCATTTATTTAATAGTTAAGAATGCTGCACATTTTCATTATGGATTAATTAAGTATACCGTTCAATTAAGGTCACATGCATTTTAGGGAAAGTATTCTCTTCCAAAGCTTTAAAAAGGTTTAGGTTTAGAACCGCCAGCCTTCCCAAAGCTGATCCCTCACTAGTTAGATTTATCTAAGTTTTACTGAGCAAGACTATCTACACTTTTCACATCTCACTGCTATAATATAATATAATATGATATGACAGTCTTTGGCTGGCTTCTGCTTTAATCTGTTTCTTACCTTGTGTGTAAATTAAACTAATTTCTAACTGCCAAACATAAAAATATTAATCTCAAGTCATTAGTTTCACCCAAACAAATTAAGTAGCAAATTATCTGGATTGATATATGAGTTTTATTTAAAAAGTTTTATTGCAATTCATTTTAGTTTAAATTAGTAAACTTTAAACTGGTAAAAATAGGTAGAATTATGGATTATGGGGTTTTTGGTGAAAAAAAAAGAACAAACTTAAAGTTCAAACTTAAAAAACTCAAAATATTTCACAGAGGCTGAGAAAAGTGAGACAACATTCCTCCATTTGATTGCAACTCTGGTTCAATTACTACAAATAAGGAAAAAAGTTTTTAAAAATAAGGAAAAAAGTCAAATGCTGTCAAATAAAATGAGGAAGTAGAGAGTGGAGGAATAATCAATACATCGATATTCTTCTTTTGGGGTTTTGAGGTTCCCCGGTTCCGCGAGGCAGGGCTCGTGTTGTGAAGCCTGAGCTCGCGACCTTCCTGTGTCTGCGCGCGTGCCTCTCGGTGTCTTTACGGAGCCCGGCGGCCTCGCGCGGCTCCTCGCGGATGTGGCGGCGGTCCCCCCCCGCGAGACACGCGGGTAGTGATGTGGCCGAGGTCCGCGGCGGAGCGATCCGCGGAGCCACAAAGAGACGCGGCCGTCGTTATCCGGGAGATCCCATTACAGGGCACGCACGTTTTTAAAATGGTCGAAACAAAAGCGTAAGACGCGATAGGCCCGTCGTCCAAAAAGAGCGACGCATTCTCTAAAGTCCACTCCGAAAAATTAGCCGTAACTTTTAGAGGATTCATTGGCTACTCGCGTGGGAAATGGAGAAGAAAAGGTGGGATTGCACTGCTCTCCCCAAAGGCTGGAAAATGGAAGAAGTGACCAGAAAGTCGGGTTTGTCAGCCGGAAAGAGCGATGTCTATTATTTTAGGTACTGAACCAACAACAGCTTGAAATGTTTCCCCCCCCCCCTCCCGGTTCGGTACAGCGACGTAGCCCAGGCAGGACAGGGCTCAGGGGGACCGGTGGTGGGAAAGTTTGGGAGGGGGTGTTTAAGGTAAAGGTAGGCCGGCGGGACGCCTCCCTTCTGGGGCTCCAGTGGGTCGACTCCTGTCTGGAGCTCCGGCGGGAAGCCTCTCCTCTGGAGCTCCAGTGGCCCGGTTAGTCGTCTCCTTCCCGGGGCTGCAGTGGGCCGGTTGGTCGCCCCTTCTCTGGAGCTCCGGCGGGACGCCTCCTCTCTTGGGCCCCGGTAGGACGCCTCCTTTCTGGGGCTCCAGTGGCCCAGTTGGACGCTTCCTCTCTGGAGCTCCGGTTAGTGGCCTCCTCTCACGGGCTCTGGCAAGCCGACGGGACGCCTCCTCTCTTGGCTCCAGTAAGCCGGTTGGTTGCCTCCTCTCTGGGCTCCAGTGGCCGGTTAGTCGACTCCTTTCTGGGGCTCCAGTGGGCCCGTTTGTCGCCTCCTCTCTGGGCTCCAGTGGGTCGACTCCTCTCTGGAGCTCCAGCAGGCCGGTTAGTCGCCTCCTTTCTGGGGCTCCAGTGACCCGCTTGGACCCCTCTTCTCGGGGCTCCAGTGGGCCGATGGGTCTTCTCCTCTCTGGAGCTCCAGTAGGCCAGTTGGTCGCCTCTTCTCTGGGGCTCCAGTGGGCCGGTTGGTCGCCTCCTTTCTGGAGCTCCAGTAGGCAGGTTGGACCCCTTTTCTCTGGGGCTCCAGTGGGCCAGTTATTAGCCTCCTCTCTGGAGCTCCGGCAATATAGAGTAGCCGCGCACTCCGCCTCGGCCTCCCGCTAAACCAAACTGTGTGTACTTTCAGTCATTGCTCTTCTGTCTCCCCTGGAAGTGAACCCACAACCCCAGGTTTGTTTTCATTTAGCAGAGCAGAAGAGCCAGATGAGGAACAGAGGCAAGAGAGGGGGGAGGCGGGTCGGTTGTATAGTCTGTGGTAGGCTATCTGCTCTCATACTGCTGTTACCTGTGTGTGTGTTGTAACACACATTTGCATGAGTCCACCCACAGTTGTGCCTTTTGTTGGTCATTGCTCAGGGTGAAGATGCCCCCCCCCATCCCTCCCCACACCCCCATTTGGAGCTATTGTTTCCATCCTGAAGCATCTTTCCATCGTGCTCACTAATGTGTGGAGGTGGCTCTCATTATGTTCCAGTAAAAGCTGGCAGAGCTTTGGTTTAACTCGGACTTCATCCATGTCACGGTTGCTCATGTGCCCCGTTTCTTTCTGCTTTTTTGACTTGTTGCACGTCGTCGTTTGGTTTGTTGTCGTTTGTTGTCGTTTGTTGTCTCTGTTGTGTAGTCTTCATGTCACCCAGCCTGTCCCCCTTTTTTCATGTCAACAGATTGTGTTGTTTGGTTTTTAAAAATAAAATGGTCATAACACCAGCGTTTCTGCCTCTCCAGTCCATCTGGGAAGAAGTTTCGCAGCAAGCCCCAGCTGGCCCGTTACCTTGGCAACCAGATGGACCTCAGCTCCTTCGACTTCCGGACGGGGAAGATGCTGATGAGCAAGCTGAACAAGAACCGCCAGCGGCTGCGCTACGACAACAACAACCAGAACAAGGTGAGCGCCCCCCCACCTACCGGGGACCCCCCCACCCCCCCTCTCGCTCCAACGGGATTTCATCCCTCCTCCTCTCCTCTGTTCTCTATGTTTCAAAGGGCAAACCCGACCTGAACACGTCCCTCCCGGTCCGGCAGACGGCCTCCATCTTTAAGCAGCCGGTGAC